GTACCCCCGCCTCCCGGGTGTGCCCTCGCCTCCCAATCGTTTGGCAAACTCCTGCTCAGATTCTGAGCCTCTTGGGGAGAGTCTTCCAGCTGGTGTTCTTTTCTGGGTCTTGTTTCTGTCGAACTGGGTGTATCATCCGGATTGTCCTGCAAGGCTTTCTTCAGTGTGTGCTGTTCCCATGTTTAAGGTGTGACTGGGGTCATGGCAGAGCTGTTTGCTGTCTGTTGGGGGGTGGAGGCCTGTTCTGCAGTGCCTAACGTGAGAGGAACAAGGAGCCAAGGACATCTTGACCTTGACTCTAACTTTGGACTTAGTGAGCGTGCCCTCAGTCACCGCTGTTTGTTTATTTACTTATTCTGTGTGGGATGGTTGGTCTTGAGCCTGCAGGAGCAAGCTGGCTCCACACCCCCAAGTCCACGTTTCTTTGCCTCTAATTCTTATGTCCGAAGACAGGGAACCACAGACAGGCCTTTGCAGGAGGGTAGTCACCGCTGTTTAAATGCCGAGTGGTCTGAGTGGGCTGTCACCAGCATCAGAGCCGTGGAGACGGATCCAGCCTGACCTGGGCGCGTGCTTGAGGGACCGGCAGAGACTCAGGCTTGAGGGGGGGGGGGGGGGGGGGGGGGGACACGGAGGCCCAGAGGCCCCAGGAGTGAGTGTCCTCCTGTCCCTCCCGAGTGGCCCCGGGGCAGGCTCTGCTGCTCAGCTTCCCTCTGAGTCTCTTCCCACAGCTGCCCAGACCTGGGCCCCTTCTCCTGAATGCCCTCCAGGGGGCAAGACCTTATTTGAGGTGTAAACAGCCAAGTCATTCAAGGCCACAGCTGATAAGAGGGCTCTTGCTCCCACTCGTGGTCAGAAAGGAACAGTGAGCAGAGAGGGGTTCTCAGGTCTCATGGATGCTCTCCGCAGACAGTTCCCAAGCTCCCCCCCCCTCCCCCCCATGTTCTGAGCTCTGGTTGGAGGAGGTGGCAGAGCCTGTTCGTATGGATGAATTCTGTCCTGACAAACGTACCTTCTGGCCATGCTTTGTCCGGTTAGGAAGCCCCTCTTCCTCATTGTAGACCAGGTGTGGGAGGCAGACCACTTGCCCTCAGAGCCTGGCCGCTCCCACCAGCTGTGTCCTCAGCCTCATCACGGAGTTCCAAGGGGGCCAAAGGGGCCCGACCGTGGTGAGGAGAAGGGACTCCGCGCCTGAGCAGAGCTCCTCCTCACAGCGGGTTCTGCAGGGAGTTGTTTGCACCCGAATCCCACCTCCTGCTCATTAAAGTGCTCCTGACGTCTGTGCTGTGGGTCCGGGCAGGAAAGGGAGGGAAGAGAACACGTTCCTGCTCACGGACTGGTCTCTGCTGTGCAGAGACAAGTGTTCAGCAGAACAAGAGGGGAATGAATGGTGGACGCTGAGCAGCCCCACGGGCTCTCGGGTGGCCGGAGAGCTGTGGGGAGAGGGGGCTCCCCCACCTGCTGCAGGGAGGACGCGAGGGGCTTCCTGGCAAAGACGAGTCGTCATAATTACAGACTCGTCCTTTCTGTTTGAAAAGCCGCCACTTTAAACACGGCTCTGGCAATTACACATCAATTACAACCTGCAATCAGCCCTCAGTTCAAGCTCTGGAGTCTGCAGTGTAGATGCAAAGCCTCCTCCTCCGGTGGGGTCAGGAGTTCAGTCCGATCATCCACCAGGGAGCCCATTGCAGCCATTGGCCCTGATGACCCACCAGCCATTGGCCCTGATGATCCATCAGTCACTGGTCCTAATGGTAGAGCAGCCACTGGCCCTGATGATCCATCAGCCACTGGTCCTAATGGTCGAGCAGCCACTGGCCCTGATGACCCACCAGCCATTGGCCCTGATGACCCCCCAGCCATTGGCCCTGATGACCCCCCAGCCATTGGCCCTGATGACCCCCCAGCCATTGGCCCTGATGACCCCCCAGCCATTGGCCCTGATGATCCATCAGCCACTGGTCCTAATGGTCAATCAGCCACGGGCCCTGATGATCCACCAGCCAATCAGCCACTGGTCCTAATGGTCGAGCAGCCACTGGCCCTGATGACCCACCAGCCATTGGCCCTGATGATCCATCAGTCACTGGTCCTAATGGTCGATCAGCCACTGGTCCTGATGACCCATCGGCCTCTGATGGCCCAGCACTGTCCTCACAGGGATTGTCTGTTCTCCCTTCCAGGCCATTTCTTTCCTCACGCCCCTGGCTGTGATCTGTGTGGTGAAAATTATCCGGCGAACAGACAAGACTGAAATTAAGGAAGCCTTCCTAGGTAGAGTATCCACGGTTCTGGTTTAGGGGGTGGGGCAGGACTGAATTAGATCACTGGGTTTAAGAAAACCTCAGTTGCTCCCAGCTAACTTTCTCTCGGTCAAGTCAAGCTTGGGAGGAGCAAGACTAAGTGTTGTGAGCCCGGGAAGGTCCAGGGCACAGGTGGAAGCAGCAGCGCCTCCCCTCAGCCCGTGGCCGCTGTCCGTTGTGCTGAACAGTAGCGTCCGCCTCCCTCAAGACCGGTTGCCTGGGCTCAGGGCAGGGCAGCTCTTGGTGGCGGAAGAAAACGAACCTGAAACTTTGTCACCCCTGCCTGTCCAGCTCACATTGTGGCGAATAGGCCCACGGTACAGGCAGCTCAGAACTCACCACGTCCACACCCCCAGAGACCCTGGCTCCATGGTTTCTCGGGCCTGGCCACGGAAGTCGTGGTCTCCGGCCAGCCTGCGGATGCCACCCCCTTCCTCCGCCCCCCAGGCCAGGCAGGTCCCCGGCTGCTCCTCTGTGGTTTCGGGTTTGGTGGTGACTCGGCCGTTTCCGAGGCTGGTGATGGAGAGGTAGGCTTTTCCAGACAGGGCACCGGGGCCGCTCCCACACATGGCCCGAGCGGCCAGGGCTGGGTCAGGATGGATAGCACTGTGGTCCCAGGATGTCCTGTTGGGGGTCTTCTCAATTGACCTGGAAATCCCTTCCCCTCACTTTAAAAAATTATCTTTATTCTTGAAAGTATTGCAGATGTCTCCCCCCACTCCCATTGATCCCTTCTACCCCACCCCCTCCCCTCCCAGGCCTCACCACACTATTGTCTGTGTCTGTGGGTTCGGCATAGATGCACATAAATTCTTTAGTTAATCTCTTTTCATGCCCCCCACCCACCCCTGCCTTCCTGTGAGATTCGTCAGCCTGTTCCATGCTTCTTTGTCTCTGGATCTATTTTTGTTCATTAGTTTATTTTCTTCCCACATGTGAGTGAGATCCTGGGACACTTGTCTATCTCTCACTGGCTTACTTCACTCAGCATCATGTCCCCAGGTCCCTGCAGGCTGCCCCAAAGGGTAAGGGATCCTCCTTCTTCGCAGCTGCATAGCATCCCATGGTGTGACTGTCCCACAGCTTTTACCCACTCGTCTGCTGACGGGCACGTGGGCTGTTTCCAGATCTCAGCTCTTGTCAATGGTGCTGCGATGAGCATGGGGCGCACATGTTCGTTCTGATGGGGTTTCAGATTCTAGGATATCGTCCCAGAAGGGGGATCGCTGGGTCAGAGGGCAGTTCCATGTTTAATTTTTGAGGAAACTCCAGACTGTCTGCCATAGTGGCAGACCCATCTGCATCCCCACCCCTTGCCCTCACTGTTTCTTCATCTCCCCTCTGGTCTGAGACCCCAAGACCTGTGACTGTGGGGAAGGGCCTCATGATAATTTGCCGGCGGCTCTTGAGGTCTGGCTGTGGCGACGGCAGCAAGGAGCCCGCCGTGGCTTTCTCCGGGCTTTTTCACTCTCGGTGAGTCTTCCTGAGGCGGCATTTCGAAATCGCACCCCAGACCCGCCTCCTACACATCAACAGAGAAGGTGGAGGTATCGGGCGTCCTGTTGGCCTAACAAATGAGAGCCTGCCCTGGAGAAATGATGGCGAGCCTCACGTTTTTAAAAAGCCCCTGCTTTTCGGAAGCCTTAGAAACCGGGGGAGGGGGGAGGAGCTTTACAAAGCGAGGACAGGCCCGGCCGGTGTGGCTCAGTGCTTGAGCGTTGACCTACGAATCAGGAGGTCAGTTCCATTCCCAGTCGGGGCCCAGGCCCAGGTTGTGAGCTTGATCCCCAGTGTGGGGCAGGCAGGAGGCAGCTGATCCATGATTCTCTCTCATCATGGATGTTTCTCTCTCTCCCTCTCCCTTCCTCTCTGAGATCAATAAAAATATATTTAAAAAGCAAGGACAGAGACTGGGTGCAGCCTCCCAGTGTCTGGAATTCAGGACTTTCCGGGGAGGGGCTTCGTGCCCAGGCCCCTTTCCTCGGGCACCTTCCATAGACGGGACGCCATGCGCTCCCCTTCCCTGCGTGTCCAGTGGCCACCTCTGTGCATCACGGCTGGACCAGAGGAGTGAGGCTGGGCCCACACAGCTTCAGGCTTCAAGGGACACAGGCAGAGAACACTGTCCGTGTGACGAGAACCCCGTCTGGAAGGAGTGCTAACTCCCCAGCAGCAACGAACGTGACCAGGGGCCTCGGAGCCTCTGGGACACTCGTTAGTCAGCAAGTGCCTCTGTTCAGGCCTCTTGCCGGCCAGCTCACACCACGTGGCTTGGAGTTTTGTCAGCAGACAGTCTGGTTGCTGGCCGACCTCTCGAGCCCGCAGTGCGGTGGGGGGCTGTCGACCAGCCCTCACACCAGACCCCTCAAACCAGGGTTGTCATTAGCCAGGAAGCTCTCGGATCAGGTCACTCATTTCCTGCGTCTGAACTCGGCTGTCTTCTCTCTGGTGTCTGTCGGTGAGAGGCCCATGGTGATGCCCTGGGGTGCTGTTCAGATGGAAATAACCACCGGTCCAGGTCACTTCCAGAATGAGGAGTCAGGCTGTGGTTCTGGCAGCAAGTAGCTCACCATCGCTTTCATGAGGAGATGCCGTCCGCCCTCGATATTGTCACCCCAGATCCCCCCTCTTCTCTCCTTCGGGCTTTCGGGTCAGGAGTGAAGCTGCCAGCCGTCGGGACGTGACATGCACAGTTTCCAGCTCGGCTACTTGGGTCTTTGAAAGACCCGCTCTGTGCAGGGCGAGCCCAGGGGTGCAGAGGTCGGGTGTGTGGGGTTCCGATTGACACCTCCCCTTGAAGTTCCCCGAGGCGCTGGCAGCTCAGCTGGTGATGCTTCTTCCGGAGACTTTGTCTGTGCGAGAGGCCAGGCCAGGGCCAGGTGGGAAGTCAGACCAGCTGGAGAACAGCAGGGCGCCCGCGGACCGGGGTGTGGGGGAGACCCCGTCATGTCCGGGTGTCCTCACAGCCTGTCCGTTGTCATGGCTCCGGGACAAGCGGCATGAAGACAGCCCAGGGATCCCTTCTCTGCCAAGGAGACCTTCCCGCAGGCCCCGAGCTTGCGAGAGGGCAGGGAGGCCAGCATTTCGGAAGGAGGGTCTGTGCACGTGGATGCAATCAGAGGGTTTCCCTGCGCTTCCCCCTCTCGGTTTCCATTTCTGCGCCTCCCTCGCAGGCGTGGTGTCTAAGTGGTAGGACCATTGATACGCAGTCCCCCCCACCCCCACTCGGGTGGTAAACCTTCCTCTGACAAAGGAGTCCATTGGAACCGGCTGCTCCATTCTCTCTCTCCCACGACTTGTTGCCAGCAGGTGGGTTTCCATGTGCACGTGCACCACAGCTGCTCGTCCACTCGCCTTCTGATGGCACATGGGCTGCTTCCAGGTCTTGGCTGTTGTAACTAACGCTGCAGTGAGCAGGGGGTGCACACATTCTTTCCAAGGGGTGTTTGCGTTTCTTTGGATATATTCCCAGAAGTGGGATCACTGGGTCATGCTGTTTCTTTTTCTTTTTTTCTTTAATTTTTGGGTTTTGTTAGTCTTCACCCGAGGATATTTTTCCATTGATTTTTTTAGAGAAAATGGAAGGGAGAGGGAGAAACACAGAGAGAGACATCGGTGTGAGAGACACATCGATTGGTTGCCTCCTACATGCACCCTGGCCAGGGCCGGGGATCAAGCCTGCAGCCGAGAGGTAAGTGCCCTTGGCTGGAATCGAACACAAGACCCTTCAGTCCCCGGGCTGATGCTCTACCCACTGAGCCAAATCGGCCAGGGCTACTGTTTCATTTTTAATTTTTTGAGAGAAATCCATACTGTTTTCCACACTGGCTGCACCAGTCTGCAGCCCCACCAATAGTACATGAGGGTTCCCTTTTCTCCACCGTTGCCAACGCTTAATGTTGGTTGATTTATCGATGATGCCATCCTGACAGGTGTGAGGTGATAGATTCCTCAGCTGTAAAAAAGGAGGAAGTCTTACCTTTACGACAGCATGGATGCACCTGGAGAGCGTTATGCGAAATGAAGTCAGTCAGTCGGAGAAAGACAAGCACCATAGGGTCTCACTCATGTGGGATCTAATGAACAAAATAGACAAATGAACAGACGCATAGATACCGAGAACAGCCTGACAGCTGTCAGAGGGGAGGGGGTTGGGTGAAAAAGGTGACGGGGTTGAGCAAAAAATAAATAAAACTGGTAGACACAGCAGTGCAGTGACTACCAGAGGGAAGGCAGGGGTAGAAGAGGGTAATCGGGGAGTAAATGGTGATGGGAAGAGACTAGACTGGGTGGTGAACACACAGTACGGCACACAGATGTGCACCTGAAACCTTCATAATTTTATTGACCAAAGTCACCCCAGCCCAACACAAACATTTTAAAAGGCAAGCGGCTTTCTCCAGCTCGTCCCTGTGCCCGCGGTGCCCCCTGGCCACTCCAAGCTCTCTGCTCGTAGGACAACAGGCTCGTTCCCTGATGGCCATGAACAGCTCTTTCCCGAAAATGTCCCCACGGGAATCTTGGCTCCTGTTGAGTCCTTCGTATTTGCCAGAGGGAAGGGCAGCTCCTGTGCGTCATCGTTCAGCAAAGCAAGGGGATGGGCACCCGAGGGCTCTCCGTGTGCATGGCATCGAGCTTCCGCACACGGACTCGCCACTGTGAGGTCGCAATGAACACGGGGCAGCTCCCTGACTCCGTCACGCGCATTCTCGGGTGGCCTGCCCATCACGCATCAAAGTCCTTCGGAGCTGGGAGAGCCCCCTGCTGTGTATTTTAGACGAAGTATTCCAGAATTCCTGGTGCTTTAGGCCAACTTTCTCAGAACCCACCAGGTCGTGGGACTCCTCACCTCAGACACAGCGCCTGCTGGATAGCAGATGGGCAGCTGTTGGCAGGTGACAGGTCGACAGGAGGTAGTTGCCGCTATCAAACTGAAACGCTTCTGCACAGCAAACGGAAGCGATGGCAAAACAAGAGGCAGCCGCCAAATGGGAGATGGTATTTGCACACAGGAGCCCCGACAAAGGTTTAATATCCAAAGTATATAAGGAGCTCAAAGAACATCACCAGTCAGACAACCCAAGGAAAGAACGGCCATCGGGTGGGTCAACAAAGAACTTGTGTGCATAGACGCTTAACCTGGGGGTGCAGACAACGGGGTGGTGAAGGCCTGGGATGGGGGCGGGGCTGGAAGAGGTCAATGGGGAATAAAGGGAACATATGTACTACTTTCAAAAAAACGATTTTAAAAAATGGCCATAGGACCTGAGCAGACACCTCTCCCAGGAAGACATACAAATAGCCTATCGATGTGTGAAAAGATGTTCAACCTCACTAGCAATCAGGGGAGTGCACATCAAAACTACAACGAGAAACCACCTCACACCTGTTAGAACAAGACAGGTAATAGCAAGGTTGTGGAGAACAGGGAACCCTCGTCCGTCCACTGCTGGTGGGAAGGGAGATGTGCAGCCCCTCTGCCAACAGTACAGAGTCCCTCAAAAAGCTGAATAGAGCTGCCACATGACCCAGCAGTCCGTACCCGAAACCTCTATGACCATATTAACCCACGTCACCCCAGTAAGTTTAATAAAATAAAAAGGAGAATTGCCAAATGGGAGTGTCCTCTTTTGCAGAAGGATGTTCTCATGAGAACTGACTGAGAAGGTTGCAGAAGGAAATGAGAAGTTCATGTTTCTCGCTTCCAGCCTTACATCTGCCCGTGACAGACGGCTCCTCTGCGATACTGAGCATTCAGTCAAGGAGGAGATCGATCTCCGGCTCAGGACTCGGGATTTTTTGAGTCGCTCTCCAAAGTCCTGTCCTAATTACATTTTACTTGTCACCCAAACGTCCTGTTTTTAAAGCTGTTGGCTCGTCTTCCTACGGCCATAGATGAAATGGTGTTTTGGGATGTGGGTGAGGACTTTGACGTGAGACCAGCCGGTGACTTTTCTGTCTGTTGGTTTTGTCCTGTAGCCGTGTCCTTGGCTCTCGCTCTGAACGGCGTCTGCACAAACACCATTAAGCTCATCGTGGGCAGGTGAGTCCCCCAAAGAAACGGCTGGTGACAGGCGCCCAAGGCCACCTGTGCAGGCACCGTGGCCGCGGGGAGGACGCGGCACGAGGCAGATGCCGGCTCTCCTGGTTCCCTCGGACGCTGTCCTGGGTTGTGTCCTCAGCACAGTCTTTCCTCCCCTTTGAATTCCGAGCCCCTGTCTCGGGAAGCGGGAGGTCGGTAGTAAAGAGGAGGGATCCACCGACTCCACTTTCGGTGTTTCCAGTCCATCCTGTGCTCCACCCACTCCCAGCCGCTCGTCGGTTTTGCCTCCAGAATCTGTGAGGTCACCCTCTGTTTTTCCCTCGGGATAAGAAGGGTGGATCGGCATCGGAGACGCTCTGACCCTCCTGGGAAGGATTTCTGTTCTCCGTGTCGTGCCTTCTCCCCGCCTGCCTGGGAGGGCCGGTCTCTAGAGAACAGTCAAAAGGCCTGAATTCGAGACCTGCCTGGGCCCTGACCAGCTGTTGGCCTCAGGCAGGTTGTCTCCCCTCCCAGCACCTCGGCCTTTACTGACCACCTACCTGGGCAGGTGCAGGCCGGGCTCCGAGGGGGCAGGGAAGGGACACCCGTCGGGCAGGCGGTCCATGACCTGGGCTGCTGCGCCCACGAGCAGCCCCTGCTTAGAGCTGCCAGGGGCCTGCTGAACTGCTGGTTCTCAGGCCTGGGCTGCTCGGAGGGTGTGGTTCAGACCTCTGAGAGATGACTGACATTGATTATTGGCTGTTATTGATGATTACGGGGGCCTACCTCCTAGAGCTGGGGGTGTCCGTGAGCCACTGTGTATGAACGGTGCCCCGATGCGTGCGGAAAAGGGGCCCTGTGTTTGCAGCCGTGCCCGCGGTGGCGTTACTGGGTTGACTCGATGAGAGGTGGTTGGCCATCGGCCATCGCACACCTGGAGAAAACCCTCACTGGAACGAGGCAGAAAGGCAGGGTGAGGTGTGTGGGTGCAGGAGCCCATGGGGGGGGCGGGGTTCGGAGCCGGCTGTGTGTGACCTGGAGGGGTGTTCCCTTTCGAAGCCTGCGTTCTGCACCTGTAAAGTGAAGATGCCCAGGGGCTGCCGCGGGGTTGTCACGGATCCTGGGACCGGCACAGGTGCATGCTCAGCACCATCTGGTCCCCAGGCTGAGCTGAGCCGAGGCTGCGGCAGGAGGCCCGGGCCCTCCCACCACACTGCGTGGCGGGTACTCGCTCATGGACCAGGACCTTCGGGGTCCTCTCGGGGGTCGCGGAGACCTGCTGTCTCCGAGGGGCAGCTGGCCACTCAGAGTCCCAGTGAAGGGACAGGAGCCGCCCTGGGACCTGGATCCTGACGCAGCCTCAATGCAGGGCCTGGGCGGGTGGGGCACTGACCTCACCAGCGCTGAGGGAGGTTCTTCCTGAACCCCGTTCCCCTCGGGCCTCACCTTGTAGGTAGTGGCCTCCCCTTGACAGACGTGGAAACAGGCTCAGGAGGCACTTGGCCTTCCCAAGGTCAGGACACTCGTAGGCGGCAGAACAGGAGTCCAGCTGGGGGTCTCTCTGACCCGAGGCCTAAGCTCTACCGTGTCTGTTGTGTGTGGGACACAGGGCGGAGCTGGGGCATGGCTGGTGGGGCTGGGGTGTGGCTGGTGGGAGGAGCTGGGTGTGGCCAGAGGGGCTGGGGTGTGGCCAGGGGGGCTGGGGTGTGGTAGGAGGAGCTGGGTGTGGCCAGAGGGGCTGGGGTGTGGCCGGAGGAGCTGGCGGGGTCAGCTGGGGCTGGTTGTGACGGCAGCGTTTATATGGAATGTGTCCGTGGTGTCTTTTGTAGACCGCGCCCCGATTTCTTTCATCGCTGCTTTCCAGATGGGGTGATGAACGCGGAGATGCACTGCACGGGGGACCCCGAGCTGGTGTCCGAGGGCCGCAAGAGCTTCCCCAGCATCCACTCCTCCTGTAAGTGCCCGCGGGACACGGGTTCCCCCCGCGGTTCCCGGTCGCCCTGCGGGGTCAGACGGCGGGGACAGTGAGGGCCGGGAGTGTTGGGCGCGGTTCACTGTCCTCACTGTGTGGGGCGTCGGCTCACAAACAGGACCTTCAGCTGGAGGGACAAGGGGTGGATGAGGCTCCAGCGTTTAGAAACGTTGGTGCTGCTGCGAGCCCGGCAGGTGTAACACGTGACCCTTCACCCGTGTCCGTGGGACTCAGGTGCTGGACCGTGCTCACTGGGCCGCCGCCTTGTAGCTCAGGGTTCACTCGAGTTTATTCCCTCGGAGACGGTACTATGTGTCTGTGTGTGTGTGTCTGTGTGTGTGTGTGTGTCGTCTGTACCACTATTCAGCACACATATGTACACATGTATACCTCCACACAATATGTGATCTATTGTAGATGTTCCAGCTGGGACCAGCCTTAACGCCAAGACTAAATAGTGTGAATGAGGTGAAGGGAGGTGTGTTGGAGAGAGGGGTGCAGGGAGGTGTGTTGGAGAGAGGGGTGCAAGGAGGTGTGTTGGAGAGAGGGGTGCAAGGAGGTGTGTTGGAGAGAGGGGTGCAAGGAGGTGTGTTGGAGAGAGGGGTGCAAGGAGGTGTGTTGGAGAGAGGGGTGCAAGGAGGTGTGTTGGAGAGAGGGGTGCAAGGAGGTGTGTTGGAGAGAGGGGTGCAAGGAGGTGTGTTGGAGAGAGGGGTGCAAGGAGGTGTGTTGGAGAGAGGGGTGCAAGGAGGTGTGTTGGAGAGAGGGGTGCAAGGAGGTGTGTTGGAGAGAGGGGTGCAAGGAGGTGTGTTGGAGAGAGGGGTGCAAGGAGGTGTGTTGGAGAGAGGGGTGCAAGGAGGTGTGTTGGAGAGAGGGGTGCAAGGAGGTGTGTTGGAGAGAGGGGTGCAAGGAGGTGTGTTGGAGAGAGGGGTGCAAGGAGGTGTGTTGGAGAGAGGGGTGCAAGGAGGTGTGTTGGAGAGAGGGGTGCAAGGAGGTGTGTTGGAGAGAGGGGTGCAAGGAGGTGTGTTGGAGAGAGGGGTGCAAGGAGGTGTGTTGGAGAGAGGGGTGCAAGGAGGTGTGTTGGAGAGAGGGGTGCAAGGAGGTGTGTTGGAGAGAGGGGTGCAAGGAGGTGTGTTGGAGAGAGGGGTGCAAGGAGGTGTGTTGGAGAGAGGGGTGCAAGGAGGTGTGTTGGAGAGAGGGGTGCAAGGAGGTGTGTTGGAGAGAGGGGTGCAAGGAGGTGTGTTGGAGAGAGGGGTGCAAGGAGGTGTGTTGGAGAGAGGGGTGCAAGGAGGTGAAGTTTCAATCGCACTGTACGTGCACACCCACACGTGGTATTTTGTGGAAGAGCCACACTTAAGGGGCCAAAGAGCCGCATGTGGCTCGCGAGCCGCGGTTTTGCCAACCACGGGGATATGCGATGCTGACCCCAGCGTTCCTGCAGCGCCCGCCTTCTAAGCGTTTGGTGCACTGTCTTATTTGCTCCCCTCGTATGTCAGGCACTTGGTGTAGCCCTTTAGATGGATGTCGTTATCTGTGTTGCTGTTTATCGCCAGAGCCGAGGTTCCGGGCTGTCCTGCGCGTTCGCTTTGTCATGTTCACTGAAGGGCTTTGTGCTGGACGCAGTGCCAGGCACTGGGGACACAACGGTAAACAAGATGCCTCACGCCCGGCCGCGTGGCTCAGTGGTTGAGCGTCGACCCATGGGCAACATTGTGTGGGTTCCTTATGGCTGTTTCAGACCTTTGGCTTTTAGCTCAGACTTCCAATTTGGGCCCAAAGATCGTTCAGGATATTACGTGTGTTCTAAAAGTGGAAGCTCACATCACCATGTCCTCTGTAACAGACATCTTTTGGGATATGGGTAGATTCATGGATTGATAAATGGGTGAAAGGGAGGAGAGAAATCAATCCATCAATCAATTGATCGATCAATCATGAGCCAACAGAGTTTCACAAAACCCTCCTCTGGAAAGTGTCCAGGCCCTAAGTGGGTGCCCGACCTCAGCTGGCACAGCCGTAGGAACACACGGCCTCTCTTGGTGCTTTCTCTGACCCGTATCTGGTGTGCGCATCCTCAGAAAGATGTGTACTTCCTTTCCCTTTTGCATAAAACTCAGAAACATCCCTGAGTAATGGCCATCGGGGTCTCCAGCCGCCGTCTCCCTCCCGGCTCGCTCCTCACGCCTCCGAGGGCCTGGGGCTGCCTCTCCCGTCTGCTGGCATCTGCTTGGGAAATGCAGAGTCACTTTAGTGGTAGCTGGACCCAGCTTCGTTAGGAGGCGAAGTCGGCCGGAGGACACGACACCGCTCTCTCCCCAGCCGAGTCGGGGGTGTGGGTGGCAGGGCTGGGCCACCTTGGGGAGTAAGGAGGACCAACAGGACCCACTGCCCCGGACCTGCCCCAGCTGAGTGCGGGACGTCCCAGGTCCCAGGGACACTCAGCATCTGCGGCACCAACACCTTGTAGCTCCCGCTGCTCCCCGGCTCGTTCTTGCCTGTAGACGCCGAGGTGGAGGCGGGGGGGCACCAGGGCCCTGTGGTGGTGAGCCGGGCCTGCGGGTCCCTGGAACGTACCCCGTTTTCTCACTCTGCCCCGGGGAGGGGGGCCGAGGCAGTGCAGCGCGAAGGCCGCTGGACGGAGGCTTGGCTGTCCTTCAGCTTCGCGTGTAAATCCTTCCCGGGATGACACTTGGACTGGGGCGACCTTCCGACGCCCAGGTGCACACGTGCCGTCTTCCTCCTCCGTCCTCTCGCGTGGAGGCCCCCGACGCCTTGCGGCTCCTCTGTGGCTCCGGCCTTGAGACTGGGCTGAGCGTCCCTCAGAGCAGCCGAGCAGCTTCTTGAATAATTCACCGGGAACTCTAGTCTGGGGATCCCCAGCCAGGCTGGAGCGAGTTGAGTTTTCTCTCCGTGTGAGTCCGGGTTCTCCTGAGAAGCAGAACCAATGGTGTAGCTATAATGAGATTCACTGTGAGGAATTTTAATAAATAATTCATGTAATTATGGAGGCTGAGAGTCCCGCAATCTGCCGTCTGCAGACGGGGGGAGGGGGAGCAGGAGAGCTGGGGGTAAGTTCCAGTTTGGGTTCAAGGCCCAAGAACCAGGTGCTGATGGCGAGGGTCCCAGTCCAAGGGCACGAGTCAGCATTCCAGCTCACACTCACCAGCAGGAGATGCAGTTTCTCCCTTCCTCCTCCTCATTTCAGAGAGGAAGGGAGAGGGAGAGAGAGAAACGTCAGTGATGAGAGAGAACCATTGATCGGCTGCCTCCTGCACGCCCCCTACTGGGGATCGAGCCCACAACCCGGGCATGTGCCCTGACTGGGAATCGAACCCTGACCTCCTGGTTCATAGGTCGATGCTCAACCACTGAGCCACGCCGGCCGAGCCATAGGCCCCAGCACTTAACCAGGGTCAGGACACTGGTTTCCGAGAGCTCCCGGTTGCGCCTGCTCTCCTCCAAGGCCCGCAGCGCTGTTTCCTGCCGGGACGCTCTCGCTAATGCCCTGTGAGTCCCGCTCCTTCCACCTCCTGACTTTATACACCGCGATGCCTCCCGGTCCCCTCCAGCTTCTCTCCTCCGAGAGTCTGTTCCCTTCCTGACATTCTTCACGGCTTGTAATCACTTCTGTTTCTACTTCCGCTAAAGCCAAGAACCAAGCCTGTCTCCTTGTTCAGCTGAGTGTCATACCTGGCCAGCTCTGTAGCAGGAAGTGAATACATGTTTGTCGAAAGAACACCTTTACGGTAGAATCCTTAACCTCCTAGCCCCGTACAGATGTGGATGGTCGCTGTTTTTCGAGGATGTGTGTGTCTTGTGATGTTCGCCTATTTTTCTAGATCCTGGCAGGTCAGGTTCTTCGTCTTGGACAAAACCTTGCATTGAGTTAGGGAATAAAGTCATCTTCCTCTAGACCAGCGGTTCTCAACTTGTGGGTTGCGACCACTTTGGGGGTCGAACGACCCTTTCACAGGGGTCGCCTAAGACCATCAGAAAATACATATATAATTACATATTGTTTTTGTGATTAATCACTATGCTTTAATTATGTTCAATTTGTAACAATGAAATTGGGGGTCAGCACAACATGAGGAACTGTAATAAAGGGTCGCGGCATTAGGAAGGTTGAGAACCATTGCTCTAGACTCAGGCCCTTGGCTGCCTCGACTCGATGGCCTTTCACGGAATCACAGCTTCTTGCTCTAACGAGTGAAACACTGAAGCCGAGATCAGGGCGATGCATCCCCCTCTCCCCGGGGAAGTCGGACTCTGACTGGGTTGCAGGGTGTTCACATTTTCCATCGCGTTCCGTCGTCGTTGGCATCGAGGAGTCGCCCCCCCTTCGGGGGCTCCCCACGCGCCCCCCGTGCTCATTCCCAGGAGAGCTCCTGGCTGGCGGGCCAGTGGGCGTGGACTGAACTGACGAGTGGCTGCTGCGGCGGCTGCTTTTTCTTCAAAACAAACACACAGAATTGACTGAAACCATGACCTGCTGGCCCCTGAGCCTCATTCCCCACGTGGAGGGTTTGCTCAGTGATTGGAAGGCTGTCAGCTCCCCGGGCTTCCCAGTCTGCCTGAGGGGCGGTGCCAGGCGGGAGCCAAGGAGCTGGGGCAGGGACAGCCTGTGAAACGCAGCGCAGGGAGCGAGGCCCCTGGCTCTCTCCTGCTGCTCACGGAGGCAGAGCAGGCAGAGTGCCCCTGAATGGAGGGGGGTGCAGGCGCCCCTGAATGGAGTGGGGTGCATGCGCCCCTGAATGGAGGGGGGTGCAGGCGCCCCTGAATGGAGTGGGGTGCAGGCGCCCCTGAATGGAAGGGGGTGCAGGCATCAGGCTGCAGGAGGAGAGAGCCGGTGGCCCCCGCTCCCTGCACTCACTCCATCGGCTCCCGCCTGGCAGCCGCCTGCTTGGTAGACTCGGAAGCCAGCGGAGCTGAATGTGAGGGGGCCAGACATCGGGTTCTCGACACCCAGTTACTGCAGTTAGGATGCATAGGGAAGCGGAAGGTCAATATACAGTGAAGAGTAGGTGCCTCTGGCATCAACCAGCGCCTCCTCCAGCCCCGGACGGAGCGTCTGCGATGTTCTGGGGAAGCACCCGGTCGTCCACAAGCTCGTCTTAATCCTCAGGAAAACCCTCTGAGTAGATATTCCCATTGATCCCATGTTGCCGGTGAGACCACAGGTCAGGGATCTGCCTAACACCACGTGAGTGTGAGTGGGGAAGCCAGTCCTCCGCTGCAGGACACTTTGGTTGCTCCCATGTCTTGGCCACCGTGAATAATGTTGCAATGAACACGGGGGCGGGGGTGGGGTGGGGATTTCTATTGAGGCTTCATCACGGAGGCTGATTAGTCTTCACTTTGCGCCCAGCCCCTCCCCCGCTCTGGAGAATGGGGGATTGGGCTGAAAGTCCAAGCTTCTCATCACCTGGTCTTCCGGTGACCGGCCTCCATTCAGGACACACCCAGGCACCCACCCACAGTCGCCTCATTTGGATAAAAGCTGTGCCCAGTGCTCGTATCACTTAGGTTTTAGGAGCTCTCTGCCAGGAACCGAGGGCAGAGACCAATAGATAGTTGTCATCTCACACCTTCCCTCCTGTGTGAGTTCAAGTCCCCAGTCAAGGCGGCCTGGGGTCTGATCAGAAGGGTTGTTTTTTCCTAACAAACCCAAGTGCAGGTGGCACAACATCTCACAAAAGGCAGGTGCCTTAGAGGCCATCTCCTCAGCTGGTGGCTGGGCAGTGGTGGTCATTACCGTTTCGAGGACTCCTAGGTCCCTGCACCCCAGGAGAGGGTACATAAAGGGCTGCTGTCTTCGTAGTTGTTTCTCGAACTGCAGGTGGCACAACATCTCACAAAAGGCAGGTGCCTTTGAGGCCATCTCCTCAGCTGGTGGCTGGGCAGTGGCGGTCATTACCGTTTCGAGGACTCCTGAGGTCCCTGCACCCCAGGAGAGGGTACATAAAAGGCTGCTGTCTTCGTAGTTGTTTCTCGAATGTGTGCATTGCCATTCGAATCTTGCCATCACTTTTATGTTCTACTAAGGCCTTCGGAAGTAAAATGCAATTATTTTTCATAAAAATGTTATCTTTATGTAATCCTGCTCAGGCTCTCAGCAGCTCCCCTAACGGTGATATGGAACAGGGTAATTCCTCCCTTCTGAAGTCTTGTTCTTATATTTATGTTTCTGATCATTGTGGCACATCATCAAGACGGGGAAACGCAAAGGTTGTCCTGGGGATTGAAACTGCTTCCCATCTTGGTGACCGTTCATAACTCTCTCTAGGGTAAGGAGTAGCATCTAATAAGAATTTTTCATTGAGTAGTGCAGGGTGAAGGGAGGGGCAGAGTGGCTTCTGTCATTTCAAAGTCCTAATCCTCCTGGGCAAGGCCTTGCCCACTCCCAGGACCACAGGGTGGACCAAAGGGCGGCCACCTTCTCCCCCAAAGCCCGTCCTCCCCTGTTCCTCATGCTTCCTCAGCGCCTTGGTGCATTGTGCCCAGGTGGGATTTTTTTTTTTCCCAGAACAAGGTCCTCTTTGAAGATGCAAACTGGTGTCACAGAAGGAGTTTATTGTCTGCTTTTTTCTGTTTGCATTTCCTGCCTCTGATATTTGCTTTCAGGCTAATTACCAGCATTTTAGTTCCTTTTCCCTTTGCTCATTCTCCAACAAGATGCACCGTCATTTCCATTCTGAGATGGAAATCTCACCTGGCTCAGGGAGCTTAAGCGTCGCCCTGCCTAGAGCAGGGGGTGAGGGCATGACCTTCTGTGGCCATATGTGTCTTTCTGCCTCCAGGACGGTGGCCCGTTGCAGGGATACCTAACAGAGCCGGTCATGTGTGTGTTCATTCAGCTCCATGGATTGGTGACTTCCCTTGTCTTCCCTCTGTATTAACTCAATTCTGATGGTCACGCGCCTACAGGGGTATAAAAAACAAATGGGCAGTTAGCAGTCCTGTGACTGCATTCGGCCAAGGAATCCTATGATTTTTTTCTTTTCTGTTTAGAAATAATTCACAGTTGTTGGTGGTTTTTTAAAAATACGTTTTTATTGATTTTTAGTGAGAGGGGAAGGGAGAGAGATAGAAGCAGCAATGAGAGAGAGAAACATCATCGATCAGCTGCCTTATGCATGCCCCCTGCTAGGGATGGACCCACAACCGGGCATGTGCCCAGACTGTGAATCGAACCAGCAACCTCTTGGTTCATGGGAGATGCTCAACCACTGAGTCACACCAGCCCGGCAATTCATTTTTTTTAAGGGCAGCATTAACCTTCAGTAAATACTAGTAATTTGACTATCTGAGCCTCTATTTCTCATCCATAAAATGGACCTATTAAATTACATCAGGACCCAAATCATTTCCTCTAAATTATCTAGTTGAATTAATTGATATTTTTTTAGGTTGTTGAATTATTGCCATCAATAATTGCAATGAACTCTTGTCTTTAAAAGACATTTTAAAGGAATTATTGGTGTGAGATTCAGAAGATTTCAAGGATTTTGAGAATTCTCTTCAACCCAGCAAAGACAGGCTTTGTTTCCTACATCAGAGCACAAGTATCTCATGGCTGAGCGTTTAGAGAAGCGAGATTTTTTTTGGAAAAGTTACTGTGCGTACTGAGTCTACTCTGCAGTTTTCATCAAGATTTTTCCTTGAAACTTGAACTCTGGCTGGGTCGCTACATCGGATGTTAATGAACTTGTGTTTGTTTCATGAGGAAGAAATCACTGCCTTGCCCAGTTGCTCCGTTGAATGGTTTCACCTGTAGATGCACCATAGACCCACCTTCTCAGATTTGTAACCGTCTTCTTTCACCCTCTTGTTGAAAGTGAAATCCCTTAATATCCTAGAATACTAGTGAATAGAGCTTGTCATAAAAAAGGAAAACAGAACAAGCATGTTAGCTGGGCTAAACTATGGATTGAGAAATTAAAACTATAATTGAGAAACTGACCATATTAAGGGATTTGGGGCCACGGGGCATGAAAACAGGTTCCGAAAGTGAAATTTGTTTCTGAAGAATCTTGGAGAAAAGCAGGCCTGGCCTCCTGGCTGTCTGTCCCTCTCATCTCATCGAGAGCTTCGGGCGTTCTGCGAGTGGGATGGGGAAGATATCTCTGTGATTCATCTCACTAGCCTTCAAGTTTGTTTATTTTACCAGCTGGGATCATTCTGCATCTGCTGAGAGCCCCCAGGGCCTCAGAATGATGAGATCTTGAGAACCTGGCTCTGGAATTCTCCCTAAGCAAGCATTGCAGTTACATAACTCAGGAGCACAGATTGCACGGGAGCCCTTGCAAAGGCTTCTCTGTCAGGATGGAACTTTCCAGACCTGAGGCTGTGCACAGCGGTGGTTACTGCAGTCAGCGATGTGAGGAGCTTGGTCAATAGGTCCCAAGCACTGTGCTGGCAATTTACAATTGCTCATAGACTAACCCCCAGGGTCACTCTGTGAATGGTGTGCTAACACCATTGCACAGATAAGGAAACTGAGGCCTTGAGGGGGAGCTCACAGTTGTAAATGGCAGAGCTGAGTACCAGACCTGCTTGGTGTGTCTCAGGAACCCATGCTCCTCAACAGGACGGATGGATGATGGATGGATGATGGATGGATGCATACATGGATGGATGGATGATGGATGGATGGATGGATGGATGGATGAATGGATGATGGACGGATGAATGGATGCATGCATGCATGGATGGATGAATGGATGATGGATGGACGGATGGATAATGGATGGATGCATGGATGGATGCATGGATGAATGGATGATGGATGGATGCATGCATGCATGGATGGATGGATGAATGGATGATGGATGGATGGATGGGTGGGTGTATGGATGGTTGGATGGATGGATGAATGGATAGATAAAATAGAATAGATTTGGTCACATGCAAGCCTGGGAGGGAATTCTCATGGTTGAGAGCTTCATACCAGCCTGGTTCTAGAAGAGCACAGGTTGCCTAGATGGAGAGCATGATGGCAGACAGGTGCCTGGGTGCTCTGCATCCCTGCCACTCACCACCTGCCAGGTAACCCCTGCTGTTTCTCTTCGGCAGTTGCCTTTTCAGGCCTGGGCTTCACCACGTTCTACCTGGCCGGCAAGCTGCACTGCTTCACAGAGAGCGGGAGGGGCAAGAGCTGGCGGCTGTGCGCCGCGATCCTGCCCCTGTACTGCGCCATGATGATCGCGCTGTCCCGCATGTGCGACTACAAGCACCACTGGCAAGGTGAGCCCTCCCCTCCTCCTCCTCTGCCCAGGTGCTGCTGCTCCTCCCGCTCTTTCTGTTCCTGCAGCCCAGGCCTGTGGGACGCCCTTCTCGCCTCTTCCAGGGTTTGTGCCAGTGGTGGTGAGGCAGCAGGCAGGGCCGGTGAAACCCCAGCCGCACAGCCCTCAGCTCTGTCTTTCCCTC